AGAGTGCCAAAAATTTAGAAGACGCTCAGTGAATATCTGTTGAATGAATTAATTGAATGAATAAATGAGTAAACATACTACTGCTTGCAGAGGCACAGAATTAGAAATTAAGTTCAAAGTCAAATGAGGAGCTGGCTTCTTTTTTGTTGTACCTTCCAAGGTATAATGAAGATAACTGCAACATAGATGTTTTGAATAGATTAAAGCTCTGACATAGATAAAAGGACATACAGTGTAGAGGATGAGTAAAACAGCTAGCAGCAAAAGGAGAAGGGAGAAGAAAAATCAAAAACAACCTTGGGAATGTCTTGGAGTGCCCTTAATTGGCGAACACAAAAATGAAAGTACATAAAACAAAAGTCCCTTAGAGATTCTTGAATCTAGTTCTAGTCTCTGCAAAGACTGGCATGTTATGTTTATTGTTCTTTATTCCCGTGAGATAAATGTGCCTTCCTTACTGCCAGACATAGTCTCACAATAAATCCCTATAACTGAGCCTGGCAAACTTAAGGTCCCAATCCTCTGAGAGTCACAAAATACTGGGTCTCATGGAAGAGGGCAAAAGGGTCTCCTTCTAAACCCTGTGCCCACTTTATCACCTAAATACATTGCAGCCCTGAAGAGTCCCACCACTTCTGCATCTCCCTCTATAGTCATCTAAAACCAGTTCCAGAAATGTGTGTTGCCAGTGGGATGGGAAAGTGACTCCATTTTATTTCCCATCCTCTTCTATCCTTCCTACATATCGCCCAAATCTCTTCTCTATTAGTGAGAAAATAAAACTCCCAAATGAAAGGAAACAAATAAATACTAAGGAAGTGAATGGGGAAGGGAAGTACAAAGATCTAAAATAAGAATAGCCTGCCAAAAAGTATCATTCAATCCTAACCATCACCCTATGAAGTTATCCTCATCTTTGATATATGGAAACTGAGGTTAACCTGAGAGAATAAGTAACTTATCCAAGAACGTACTGAGTACGTGTAATGCATTAGCACTAGAAGCCCAGGGCTCAATCAGAAGACATGGCCCTTTCCTTCATGGGACATTCTGAGTAAAGGAAATTAAAAAAAAAAAAAAGAGCTATGAAATTCAGTACTGTGACGAGTGCTACAGGAGCACCTAAGAAAGCTTCTCAGACCTGAGGAATTAGAGAATGTGTTGGATACACTGAAATCTAAAAGATGAATTAGATTCAGCCAAGCAAAGAGGCAGTGAAGACAGAGCATGTTAAGGAAATGACACACTCAAAAGACCAGAGATAAGATGAGCAAAACTGCAAAGGTGTAAGGTTTCAAAAAATGATGCTAAAGAAATCAGTAGAGACCAGCTCATGTAGAACCTTGCAGGTCATGGAAAAAAAATTCAGAAATTAGCATGAGGACAATGGAAAACCATTGAGGGGGGTTAACAAGGATGAAATATAATCAGATTTGTATTTTTGAAATATTTTTCTTACTGCCATGTGGTACAAACAGATTAGGAGAAAAAATTTAAAATATTATTTAGAGGGGAGAGGGCATAGCTCAGAGGTTAGAGTGTGTGCTTAGTATGCATGAGGACCTGGGTTCAATTTCCAGTACCAGCATTAAAACCAACCAACCAACCTGATTAACTCCCTCCCCCATAAATACATACATACATACATACATACATACAATATTTTTAACAGAAAATTATTTGGGTTGAAATACATGAATTAGGGATACATGAGTATTTTTGTCTAATAAAATGCCAATTTCATATGGTTTAGCCTATTGGTTAGGCAGCACCCATCTATGGAGGAAAAAGAGTGAAAGGAACAGGAAGAAAGAGACAAAAGATGGACCGGCTGGAGGAGGTTACTTATTCCCAGAACTTACTACACCGAGAGTACAGAAAATGGATCAGAAGTTCTAATTTAACAAAATAAAAATGATGAGTTTTAAAAAATGGATGATATTGTGAATAGATCTATTAACTCTTTACATTTAAAAAATAAAATCCTTAAGCTAAATTGCCAATCCCTATCTTTCTGTAAGATAGACATTGCTCTCAACCCATTAAAAAAGGCTCTTATTTTTACATAGATTCATAATCTGACCTTCTCCAGGTTGCCAAAGCCTAAGAAATAGCTTCAAGACTATAGATTAACCTTTACAGGGTATACTTGACATGAATTTTTAAGAGATATAGTGTCTTCAAATAAATGATCCCAACACAAATTTAAGATTCAATCAGCATTAATGGTGGTATTAGAAATGATAACTTCAATTATAAGCATAATGCATTTTCCTTTGAGAGATTAATTTATGTAGAGTAGGTACTTGGAGTTTGCCCTGGTACAGCCATACTTCAAACCTGCTTGTGACTAAAAAAAGGCATTTATGCTAGTTTGATCTAAGATAATAGCAAATGTTTAAAAAAATTAATGTTCTATAATTCATTTTCCAGAAAGTTACTTTTTCCAGTCATCTGAGAAAAGAGGTGTGGGAAGAAGTTACAACAGATAAGATATGAAATTAACCAAAGAAATACATAATTTTCAACCAAAGTTTTCTTTTAGAAAAATACATAGTTATATACTTTAGATTTTCTTCCACCTCACTTTAATGTTGTCTTAATGACAAACGTGTCTTTTGTTTTAATTTAATCCCCCCTCTTGTAAGTTTTAATGCTTTCTGCAAAATTCAACAGTTCAGTCTGAAGCGAAAGAAATAAAACCTTGATGACTCTTAGAGAGTTTAAGATTAATGCTGGAAGAAATCACCTTGGTTAGTCATGCCTATTCTTATTAACAGCCTGAAGTTTGCTTCTGCTTCAGAAGAGGTGAAAGTGTGATGTGAAGCCAATACTCAGTGGATCATGTTGTATGGTTTGTTTTTAATCATTCAATTCAAGGAGTAGCTAGAATTGCATTTTGAATGATTATATTATTGTACATGCTATCAAATAGTAACCAAACAATATGGGACATGAACGTGCAAGATAAACAGAAATAAGTATCTTCCTTCCTCTTTAGATTATGTCATCAAAACAAGTGAATATTCTATAGTTTGAAAGCAATATAAACACATTTTTAATGGAAGCCCACATATAACTGTCATGAATGCCTTTCCAAATAAGAATATTGTGGGCAACAACTCAACATCAACACATGTATCACATTGGGGAACTTGTAATTGTTCCCTCAGAATATGCTATGAGTGCTGCAGTGTTTAATCAATTAATCATGCGGCTACTGTTCTGCCAACTGTCTACCAGGTAAGCTGTGAGTGTATTTGCATAGTACACATGAACTAAGAATATGAACACAGAAAAATGCCTTTTTTAAATCTGCTTTCCCTTGTTCAAAGCAAAAGACAGCAAAGCCAGTTGAAACTCTAGACTAAGAATATTCACACATGGCCTGAGAGTAAACAGTATCCCTTAACAACTGGTATTATTTAATGTTTGATAAAAATACTGCTCACATTTTTATCAATGGGTAAAAATAATATCTAATATCTACTGAGCAATTACTACATGCCAGATACCAGGCCAAATGCTTTGTATAGAACCTCATTATTCTCACTATTACACTATTGCAGTCATTCTCATTTGGGACTATTTTGACCCCAAGGGTATTTTGCAATATCTGGAGTCATTTTTGGTTGTCAGAACATGGAGAGAAAGGGTTGTCCTATTGGCATGTAAGGGGTAGAGAACCAAGGATGCTGGTAAACGTCCTTCAATGCACATGACAGCTTCTGCAACAAAGAATTACCCAGTTCAACATGCAAATGGTGCACAGGTTGAGAAACCCTGCCCCACTTTTATCTTAATTTAACAAATGAGAAAAATTAGGCTTAAAGAAGTTAAGTAAACTACTTACTAGTAAGTGGCTGAGGTGGACTCAAATCTGGCATTGTTTCAATCCAAAGCCCACCCCGCTCTCCACCATGTCACACTCTTGCTGCATTGCACCTCACTGGAAAATCATTTGTCTCACTATATATAATCTTGTAAATTCAGCAAACCTAGTGCTTTGAATCAGAGGTCCTAAGTTTAGGTGTAGGGAGGGCTGCTCTCTACCTCTTTGATCTTCACAAGTCATTCTAATTCTCATCAGTAATCTGGGGACCGACAGCTTGAGGTTTCCTAAATGTTTCTCCTAACTTTCTATGATTCTAGCTCCAAGCCTATTAGCAAGGTTACCTGATTGCCTCTCCATCCCTCTGCTGGGTGTTAGAGTAGGCCTCCCTTAGACTTTGACCTTATTCTGTTCTTTGCTTCCCAGCAAGCAGTAGAGGATTCCCTGGACTGGCCCCCTGCTGACTCTGTATCTTCTCTGTGGAACAGAATTTTGCCTTCAGTGATGCCATGGGTGATTTTTCCCACCCTAGAGAACAACCCAAACTCCACTGGGGAGTTAAGGGGGATTTGGCACTGCCCTTTCCCTCCAATTGTCTATGGAGTATCAGATATTCCCTAGGGAAGTCACAAAGAATTGACTCTCTCCCACTTTGAAGTAGTAAAGATTCCAAGGGGAGGGAATCCACAGCCTGACCTCCAAACCAAATAGCTAAGGACCCAGTGTATGTTGCTCAGTTACCTGCATGCACCCCAGGGATCAATCTAAAACAAACAAAGCTAACAGGCAGCATGAAGCTAGATTCTCCATGCCCTGGGTCACCTTATTTTACACCCATTACAGAAGTAACACACATGCCCCCAAAATAGAAGCTTTGCTAACCCACTGCATCAGGTGCTGTAATTTGTCTCTAAATAGAGATTTGAAGTAAAAGAAACAATACTTCCTACCATCTACACTTTTGAAGGATCAGATTTGTTTCTGTAGAAAATGAGATATGGAAGAACACACAAGAATGCACTAAGATATCAAGCAGAACTTAGCCCAGTAATGTGAATTTCATTCCACAGTATTTACAGATGTGATTGACAGAAGGAGTTCTGGTTCTTGAAACCTGCCTATGTCATCCAGAGGTGATGGGTTTTTCTGCCCCAGTTAAAATATATATAGGTCATTTCAAAGAGGGCTCATGCAGCTATGAATCCAGGAGCTCTTAACTATATGATCAAAGCTTGAAATTTCTTCATAGGTTGCTACAGTCACACAATAGTGCGAAGTTTTTTTTGAGGAGATATAAGATATAGGCACTCATAATCATGATAGTTCACTCATAATAATCCATGATTGGTAATCTGGGTAAGTAAATAAATTTCTCAAAGTTTAAAAAAATACATATAGTCACACATTTACATTAGAACCTGAACTTCAACAAATAGTTGCTTCTTATCCTCCTAAGTCACCTCTTGGACATGCTAACAAATATCAAAATTATCCAAAGTGGATCATATTTCCCTGTTGGAGGAGGTTATAAAGAGGACATGACCACAGGTTGACCCAGGAACTGGTCCCCAGCAGTTGAAGCTGCAGCCCCTTATCCCCACCCCGTCCTTGGAATGGACATTCTGCCCACTATTCCAGGACTCAGAGCCACCTCAAGGATGCAGCCTTGGGAAAGTAAAGTGTTACTGAGACCATCTAGACTGTCTATCTGACTATCCCTCATTAAGGCCTCTATTAAACTCTCAGAATTCTGGTGGGTGGATGCAGAGACCTACTCATCTTGCAGTCACCCAAGACAAGCCTCGTATGTAAGTTCCCTTGCTTATCAAAACTGCCACCTACCAATCTGGAGTGATCGGCCTCTTTCTTCAATGTACTGGGGCCAGTTTCTAATTTTACCCAGGGAACCCCCTAGGTTGAAAATCAATATTCCTTGTCTCCACCAAATCAGCTTCTCCCTGGCAATGGTTCTAATGATGATTAAGTAGTAGAATAAGAGAGAAACAGGAACCCTCCAATATCCAGAACCTTGAAATTTCCAGTGAACAAGTGCAAAGGAACGGCATCTGAATTATCCCTGCCATGAAATCCCCTCTCCACCCCCAGCCCTACCTGGTGTGGCAGAGCTTCTGCTTTAATCCTTCTGAGGGAGGCAGGAACTGCTCCCTGGAAAGGCCAGCACAGTTCAGAAACACAGGCACATTTCCCATCAGAAAAACAATCCAGATGATAGGAACCCTATCTCTGGCCTTGCTGCTTATGGTACCCTAGGCAGTCAAGTTCCCTCAATCTCACAGACCATACAGCAGGGGAGATGCCCAGTGTAGCACAACTGGTTAGATTCAAACTGGCCTTCCCATTGTCTGAAAGCTAACCAAAGGCCTTAGAAATAAAGCACAGTCCCTCTTTGAGCTTCAGACACAGCAAAAATGGAATCAACTGCTTATAATAGAAACCTAGGCTAATTTGATTCTAAAATAATTCACTGTTTTCTGGCCATCTAGTTATTGTACCCCCACCCTTATCCAATATCCTACCTGAAAACACACACACACACACACAGACACACACACACACACACACCCATTTTCTTTTATTCCATGTATTTCCAAATGCTTGAGCTGGCTACACCAGGCTAGAGCTAGGACAGCTGAAGCTGTCACGGAGCTATCTCCCCTGACATGTAAGTCGGCCAAACTGCCATAGCCAAGTAGCAATCACTTGTCTTTTCCCTCATCTCAGAGCAGAGGCTGAAGGTTCAGGGTGGTTTTAGAATATGGACAGGGGTCTCCACAGCCAGGAAAAAGCCATCTGATGCCTTCCACTCCCCTCCCCCAAACCGTGCTCAGCAGTCGTGACTCCTCTAAGGCTTGCATGCAGGTCTCCAGAGGTGAGAGGAGCACGGATTAGCCCACTGCGCTGCCTTGCCCACAGCATAGTATAATATTAATTAGTCACCTTCCTTATTATTCAGTCAAAATATGCCAGACTGAAATAAATTACATTCTTAGCACATATTTCACACCCCTGGATCAAGTCTTGCAAGGGTTTTCTTTTATTATTTATAAGATCATGTGCTGTCTTCCTGCAGAAAATGAGATGGTCTGCATGAGGAAAAAGGTAAAAGAAATGCAGAGAAATGAAACAATCAGATATTCCCTAATGATATTTAAAAATAGAAAATTTGCTACTGTTACATACAGCATGTTCCATCTTTTGAGATTTAATGGCTCTCTTGTGGTTTAATGGAGAATTACTTTCAGTAATTGATTATTAAAATTTAAAATTGCTAACCATCTTCATTATTAGATGAGCGAACATGTTATCCTTGTAATTAAAAAAGCCCGAGACTCACTTTCATCCTGTTGACAGAGCAGGCAGACTGTCTCCGCACTCAGACTTGATGGTTTCAGGCTTCTTGTTTGACAAAAATAACCAGCCAGTCATTTGATGATGAAAATGCAGAACATCCACAGAGACTGAGCAGAAAATATAATGAACAAAAAATAAAATAATAAAAAGCCCTACAAGCTAATTAAAGTTTTCAGTCCCGACTCATTAAATGCTCTGCATCACTTATGTGGTATTTCAGTGTGCTGTGTGTGCTCAGGTAACACAGGCGCCATCATGTTAGTCCAGCCCCCCTCCACGTGCCTTCAGAAAGCATCACAACCTTTCCTCCTCCACCAGCAACAGCACCTGCCCTTTCACATTTCACCTCCAGACGTTACCATTACAAATTGTTGGTTTCAGCAACATACTATACAAAGGGACACTGGAAAAATACAGGGTGATTTCCTGCTCTTTGGATGTGTTTAGGATGTGTCCAGACTGGCATGGAGCGCTCCAAGGCTTAAGCACCCTGCTGAGTCCAAACAGTGGTACCTCAAAACCCCTGGCAAAGTCCTACATCCCCAGAAGGAAAGCTTTATCAGTCAGTTATCCACACACTGGGGATGGAGAATTTGCCTTGATGTATCTTCTTCAGTGTCTTCATCTTGTTAGAGTGTTCCTTTTGTGAAGGCAATACTCAGTGATTTCCAAAAAGAAATTTGATAACTGTCAATGAAAAGAGCCAATCAACAGGGACATTTTTCACAACTCAAGTATTAGACAGATGTCAGCCTTTGGGAGAGGAAAATCCAGCAGACTTGAGAAGCACAAACATGAATGAACCAAAGCTTTTTGTACATGAAGATATATTCTGAAAAACAAGGAAAGACATCTGAATATCAGCAATCCTATAAAGTCCCAATTGTTTAGCTCACATAATCCCCATTTGAATGTCAATGTTTTAAAAAACTGACTAATCAATGACTTGCCAAAATATATATTTTTAATTCAGACCCTCAAGGATGTTATCTCTGCTTCAACCCAGCCAACCTCGATTATTCTCTAATGCAAATCACCACTTTGTCCACACTCAGACTATGATTTCGCCGGGCAATATTTAGATGGTGCTGTAAAGATATTCTCATTTATTTGTCCTTGTATTTAGCTTCCCAATTAGATTATATAATCCTCAAGAGTAAGAGAAATTTCTTTTATTTCTTTTGCTATTTTCACTTACCTACATAGTCTCTTACCCGATGTCAAACTCAGCCAGACATCAGGTCTAACACCCATCTTATTTGCTTTCTGGCTTAGACATGAAAGCTTGACAAGAAGCTGAGGTATTCTGTGCTAATTAAATATAACCTTGAATTTAGGACCCATAAAGACTAGATCAGGCTTTTTCAACCAAAGAACCATTTTCTCAATTCTCCCAAGGATGGTACATGGCAACTTGCATTCTACATGCTTATGAGATAAGTAAATTCATTACATGCAATGAACATTAGGGCTTAATTCTTGAAACTTCTCAAGGAAGGCAGGTCTAGATTGTTCTTTCAGATTACCTTCAACAATCTCACAAATTCATTACTAACTTTAAAAAAATCCTTTCCCTTTTCCATAGCCTTTCTGGCTTTAGTGATGTAACAGATTTCCTCCTGGAATATAAAGTACCAACCAATTTATAAGGCTATCTCATGTGTTACTCCTGTAATCACTTTTGTATATGCAAACACCATGGTACCTTACCTGTCCACGTAATTCATATTTGAACACTTTTCACCTTTCTCAGTACCTAGCATCTAGCTTTAAATGTGTATGAGATTACAGTATATATTAATTGAATAAATGAATGAGTGAACAGATGAAATCAAGAGAATAGGCCAGTCCTGGATTTTTTCTTTCCATTTCTCAATCTCCTTTCTTCAGTTTAAATATGAATGAAAATAGCTACCTAATAGAAGTGTTCTGATTAAGTGATTACAAAACATTTCTCAAACAGGGATCAAAACCTTATACCCACGAATTCCTCATCTTCCCACCTCAGTTGATGGGAATTTCATAGTTTCAGTATCTCAGACCATAATTTCTGAGTCATCTTGGACTTGTCTTTTCTCTCACATCCCTTTTCCTATCCACCCAGAGACTAAGTCAGCTCTCTGTCAAAATAGATCCAGACCATTTCTCACCACCTCCACTACTACCAGCTCGTTCCAAGGTACCATCATCCATCCCCAAGACTATTCTAATTGCTTCCTAACACTCCTCTCTATTAACTACCAGACATATTCCATTACAATATCACTTGGTTCAAGTCATTCCTCTGCCCAAATCCTCCAATGCTTCCTGATTTCATTACAATGGCCTATCAAGTCCTACAAGATCTGCTTGCCCTGTCTCATCTTTCATGTCATCCTCTGCTAGGCCACCTCTCCCTCCCTTCTGGCCTCCTTGCTCTTTCTCCAACCAAGCATTCTCCTGCCTCCAGGCCTTTGTGCATGCTCTTCCCTCAGCTTGGACTGCTCTTCACCAACAGAGATGGGACGGGAGGTTTGCTTCCTCATTTTCTTCACATTACTTTTCAAATATCACCTTACTATTATGACCTTTAGAGATGAGTAAATCTGCTTTTCCTACAACTAGTTTAATCCAGTTATTTTATAACGGCAGTTTTTAAATAGAAAAATTATATAAGTTGTGAATTTTTTACAGAATATGACCGCATCAGAGGAAAATCCAAAGGCTGACATAATTTAGGTGTATAACATGGGCACATAGTGCAGAAGAGCTAAGGGGTCCTAGGAGGAAACTGCTAAACGTGCATTTCCCATCTGAGTTTCTTTCTGTCACATTCCTTTCGGCTTCCACAAATGGTGAGAATGCCTAAAACAGGTTCTCAGAAGGCTTCTGACAGCTAATTGAAATGGTTTCACCACTCCAAATTAGCGTCAAACATTGATTCTATC